AAGATGCTTCAAGATGTTGTGATAGCGCCCAAAAAACGTCAATCTTGAGATCAATGGTGAACTATTATATCGCTTGAAGAAGCAGATCTTCTTTGACGATAAGCATTTTCATCTCGCTTCCAGCTTTTTCGCATACTGCGAGCAACCATGCATGTAAATCCCAAAACCACAGGCCACTGAAAGGAAGAGAGTGACTGAAAAATCTCCTGCACTATTCCCACTCTCAAAACCCTAACCAGATTCGGGATCACGTGAAGCAATTGTTAGTCCCTGCTCGATCGCCCGCCGGACATTCCTAGGATTGTTGAGATCATGAGTAGATGAGGAGTGAGCCACATATGAGCGTTCTACCAGTATCACGGTTCAACTAGAAAGCCAAGACCATTTTGAAGCATCCAGAGGCGCTCATGCGTGGGAGAGGCATTCAAGTGACTGAACCACTCACAGCATTCGGGACTAACAATAAGCTTTACGGAAGGTAAAGAGATTTTGGGAGGGGATGTGAGCAATACTGTTTTCTTTGGCGTTCCTACCATCTCCTGGGCGTCGTTCTGGTGCCACCTACCAGCGGTTTTTAATGCCCCGTGTTGAATGTCTTCCACCAAAGGCATAAGCGCCCATCCAGACCTTGCTAGTAAGTGGTCACTTCCCCGCTTACTATTATTGTTGGGAGGATACACGCGCATGCAGCTTTTGTGGAGCTTTGGAGGAAAGTCCTTGTACTGCAGAAATCATGAGTAAATTCAATTAATTTTAAACATCAGGAGGGAAGAAACGACACTCAAAATAAGTGAGACGAAAATCTTTTGAGAATTGAAGCGATCGCAGCAGAAGAAACAACAATACTATTAGAAAACGTCAAGGGTCAATGGAAACGAGGTATTATGTTACGAACTGCCACAAAGAAGACGATGAATAATTGATATGGCGTTTGATGGGGGCGGTAGGCTAAAGAGCAACCCAAAAAAATGAGCAGGTAAATGGAGACGTTCCGAGAAGCTGAAGAAAGAATAAGAACAGGGAGCCTTGAACTTTAGGTGAGCTCTGAATTGGGAGAAGCAGGAAGTTTTATGAGTGCAATGGTATGTGAAAATTTGATTTAATAGGATTAGCAAGGTTGTCCACGGCATTTTTGTAGGCCAACCTTCCTTAGCAATCGAAGAGAAGCCTGTTGAATAACAAACCTTATCAACCTCACTTGATTGCTTCAAAGCCATTGTTCAGCTCTGTGGTACATTTCCTCGTCCATACAATCATTTCGTCCTTGTTGAATTCGAATGTTTGATTTTTTTACTTGGTCGTTCAAATTTAGAACAGAATCACGGACAACATGCCCCATATAAAAATGACGGATTTCACCAACGGCACAAATGTCGTGAAGGACTCAAAGGAAGAACGAAGTGATCGTGCAGGACTCAAGGAAAATGAAGCGACCACAAAAAAGAAGGGCATCTCGTGAGTGGTTTTTGTTTTGTTCGCATAAAGTACAATTTCTCTGTAGAGGTTTAACAAGAACAGTGGATTACAAAAAAACCTTCGCTCGAGGCGGGACTGGAATTTATTCACAGCTCGTCCTTTGCAGGTAATGCGAGGAGGTTCGATCGTTCGAATTGTAAGCGAGAGGTTCGAGTTCGAGTCCCGTCTGGGGAGGAAATTTTGTTCATAATTCAGTATTCTTGTGGAATATTCTTAATCTTCATTTAGTACGTTGTAGAAGACAACGTTAAAAATATAGCGAACAACAACAAAACAAAAACCTGAGAGAACATAACTGACAGTGAGAATAGAATGAATGACAGTGACAACTATGCTTGAAGAAAATGAGTTGCTATAGAGCGCTTGAAGGATGCAAAAGAGCCGTCAAAGGAGGAAGCTTTGCTGGCCCGCAAAAATGCAAGACCGGCTCTAACTGTAAAGAAATTCCGCCTTATAGTGGTCTTCGGCCTAGAGAAGGAGATTTGAGTTGACCACCCCTAGTATTTGAACGCGAATTGCCTCATTAAATCCGCAGTTGAAAGAAAAACAAGCGAAAATTCCGTGTTAACGATTGTGAACCAAAAGGAAACGTCGCTTGTCACATGGCTACATTACCATCCCTTCGCTAGGTCTACCTGATATTTTCCTTCTCATTAACGAGGCGAACCTTTGCCTAAGATCTACATAGTGTTTCGACCATGCCCCAACTTCCTTTCCACCTCAAGTCATAAAACTTGGTTGTCCTTTGTAGTGCTTCGAATTGACTGAGTTGTTACGATATTCAATGAAGGTTCTGCTCAGCAAGGCTGGCGTCGGACTTTGCGAATTTACTCATGTCTCGGGATATCTATGGATTGCAGACAGGCGTCGAATGATACGCCAGCAGTTTATAAGCGCGATGAAGTATGACTGCATGGGAAATCGCTCCGAGCCAGGGTGCGCATAAGAAGGACTTCCGACACTTTTGCACACTCTCGAGTCGCTGACGTGTCGTCCAAACTGTTGGCGCATCGCTCGTGTCCCGCGATTCGCTCGGTTCGCAAAGTATGAACCGACCTTGGGCTGGTGTCAGACTTTGCGAATCGAATGTTGCGCCAGCGACCCGAAAGTGTGCGAAAGTAGCGAGAGTCCCTCTCGTTCGCTCGCAGACTCTCGCCACTTTCTTAGGCTCTCATGTCCTCGCTAGCCTACAAGAGTGGCGATGGTCCACGAGCGAACGGAAGGGGCTCCCGCCACTTTCAAGCACTGTATAGCCGCTGGTACGAAGTTCGAATCGTTGGCGCTCGAACCGTTTGTGCATAGTTCCAAACCCGTGATTCACTGAATCTGCAAAGTTTGACACCAGCCTAAATGACCATTTTAGCAGCTATGGATTCTAGCGCAAGCGCTGTGGCTCGGAAGCTGAACTCACTCTAGGTCATGATCTTCTGGTCTGAACTCACTCTAAGTCAGGTCTTCTGATCACATCCGATTCCGTTAAATGATAATCGGCGGATTGATCAAGAGAATTGTCATTACATCAGCACTGCTGTCCAAAAGTGTTCTTCAGCCCACTAAGTTCAGCTGATTGGTACACATGAAAAGTGTCATCATTCATCAAGGAAGTCATTGGGTAAAGTAGTAGTCAAACAGATACTTTCAGAGCTCATCTGGCGCTGATCAATTTCCTCAAAGGTATGATTGGTCCCGGCTGCTTCTCACTACCGTTGGCATTTCGACAAGCTGGACTATGGGTCAATTTTGAATGAGCTCTCCTTCCTTTCTCTTTCTCATTGCCACAAGAGATATTTGTCTATCTTTTTTCTATTCCAGACCGGATTCGCCCTGGTATTTTTCATTGGTCTACTTACGTGCATTTGTATGGCGAAAATAGTGCGATGCAGTCAATTTTTAAGCTCACGGTATGTACTTTACTAGTTTTCACAGAAAACGTATCGGATATCGTTTACGTACATAATTCGAGTTAATTTTCCCGAAAATTCATTGAGAAAGATTAGCGGGAAGTAGTTAATTCCCGAAATGACAGCGAACTGATAGTGACGCTCCTCAAAGTACAGCAATCAGGTGGGCGGAAATATACCTCGGACTACCGTAGCGCTTTGATGAGTTTATACTGCTTGACTTTAAATGGAGATCTCGCCATTCATGTATGGAGTTTCTTCAGCATCATGGTTGAGAAAAATTGCTTACTTCTCAATGGACGAAGTTTTTCAAAATCCATGAATAGGGAACAATTTCAAGCGAAATCTTGAGTTGAAATATGTCTTTCGTAGGTCATGCAGGAGAAGTGTCTGGCCTTATCATCTGTTAACACTTCATCAATCATTATAACTGTGAGAGGGAAAAATAGCAAAGAAGCATAATAATGAAGACATTGAGAATATCCCATTCAATTCATGAACAAGCAAAAACCTTGCATACACCGAGTTTCTTCGTATGGCCATAGTTCAATCTTCGAAGTCGGCTGTCGAAAAGAGTGACTGATTTCACAAGTTTTTTAAAATTTCTTCATTTTCTCGCTGCTGTTTTACCAACCAGTCATCACATCCGAATGCAATGAGCCCCAAGGAAGTTATCGCGGAGAGTGCGTGTTGACCTAACCCATTGCGTCCCGCGTACTGCACATGGTAAAGCACTACTTTTTGAAAGACATTCGACATTTTCTCATGCTCTGGTTCTGTAAGAATATAGTATCAAATTAGGAGAACAACATGTGGACGCGGGAGTGCGCGATGAAGGTATTTCTAAATTAGCGATCCTCGATGTGAAACACCAGTCACGGCCTCTTTATACTCCTCCATTTGTAATAAAAAAGAAACTTCGCATAAACAATGAACTCAGAGGCTGAAAAGAGCGGGAATGGTCCCATTCAGATTACTTCTTGTAATTGTCTCACCTGCTTTATTCTTGAAAATGAATTTTCTATTCCTGTCGCACTTTTGATTGCCTAACCACCTTCATCATGTCATAGTAATTAATCCTTCTTTTAAAATATACACGTGCAAATATTGTGAATATATAATATTGTGTGGTTGAATAATAGATACAAGTGCTATAAATATAAAAAGGTGTTTTATTCGCGCAGCACGCAGGGCCGAGTGTAAACAGGCGCTGGAAATACGCGCCTAGTAGCGGCGAAAAAACGCCGCGGTACACAATGGGTTGAAGTTTATTGGGAGATTTCAAGATCTCTGGGGTTCTATCCCACGCTGAAAGTAGGAAAGCCAAACAAATTCTTACTTCAGGATAACAGACCAATTCCTCATAACAACAAAACTTTTGCCCCATCCAACAGCTGCCAAGCTTCATTTTTAAGCAACAGTCTCAGCAGGGTCTGTTGCTTTCAGTACTACTGGGATTAAAGGATACACTAGCCCTAGTGGAGAACATATGAAGTGTAATTGTAAAAAGGGCGTAAAACTCCTTGAACATGGGTGTGGTTGGAAATTCTTCGGGAACGCCCACTTGCCAGCCGTGATTGGCTGCGGAGGCATTCGTGATCGTTTTGGGACCACAGGGAGTATTTGAACTCGGTCCTTTAAAGCAATCGATGTGGTGCTGCAGTTTTTTTGACTTTTTTACAGACGGACGCACTTTTCCCCCGCGGAGAAGGCAATCTTCGAATGATCGCTATATCTTCCGAATTTTCAGGAGCATGCTTCGTTCGACGTATTGCAGGTTCAGACAACTCGTCCAACACGCGTCTTCCTCCATTGCTGAGTGGCAGAGGGGAGTCCCTGTCTAAGTCCTGTTCCGTCGTTTCTTCAGTTTTTCTTTACTGTCGGTTTAACTTTGACCGGCAAGCACCATAAGCTACATTACCCGGAAGCTACATCTGGATTTCTACCCCACAATTCGTCTGCGATTATGCTCTAATCGTCCCGTGTGCAGGTTGTTCTGCCGCACGGCTATACAGACACAGAATTCTTGTTGATGTCACAAGTACTATCCCATTGACTAGAAGTTGGTGCAGGTCGGTGATGATTTTCTTTGCGGATAGAAACCGCCGGGTCCCGCACAGAAAAGAAAAGGGAAAAAAAAAAAAAGATTAATCGCGAATCGCGAAATTTTCGTCCACATAGCGGCCATCTACCCTCATGCATATCTCAAGGGGATATGAGAACAAGGGCAGGAACGCCGTGTCGGATGCATAATGATTTGCTCATAGGAATTTGTATGCGCGCCACCCAATCTTTATGATTCCAATGAAGAGCCGAATGCATTTTGTTTCCTGAGGAAATTGACTATACCTATTATTAGCACCCAAATGACTGTGCGTCTATGCTTGATCACTATGGTTTGCGATGTTTATAACGGCTCCTGGCAGTAATCACTCTCAGGTAACCCATGAAACCGAAGGGTGCACATTGTGAGTAGCTGTAGAATTTTGTCAAGGAGCAATCACATATTCGAGTAAGCTTGGTGATCCGAATTTTCCTGGAGAGGTCGTAAGCATATATTGCTGATCTTTGGGAAGTTTGCTTAAAAAACGGCTCTTTAAACAACGAAGGGATAAAGTATACTCCCTTTCAAAAAACGAGAAGAGCGTCGGGTGCAGACCATACACCACAAGTGACGACGGCCCCACAAAATGTAAATGTTTTCTGCCAATGAAATGATTAGCCTGTTGCAGTTGTATTCTATCAGTTGTCACTAATTACAACTATCATTTACCAAAAATCAGCTATCACTATGAACCACTACTAACCAGATTTACTTGGAGGCCGTCGTCACTTGTGGTGTATGGTCTGCACCCGACGCTCTTCTCGTTTTTTGAAGGGAGGGTAGGTTGTCTCAAAAGTTCGTGCGTATTTTTGGATCTCATGCCACAAGCTCCTTCAACAAATTCAAAATATGTTCACGTAGGCTGTGGATAGGGCACAACGTGTAGTAACTTATACCCGAATCTGCCCACCATAGTCGCCTTCTTCGAGTTCAAAGTGAGAAAAGAAAAGAGCCATGTTTTTCACGCTCTGACTCAAGAACTTCTACTAAGCCACAAACCGATCGAAGCCGGAAGTAACATCTGATTTGTGATACAATTTCTGTCATTACCACCCATGAGGTATCAAAATGTACGGACCTCGCTTAGGAGACTACAGCCTGGAGAAAAGCGACGTCGAAAAGTGTAGGCGTTGTCGTACTTTTGAGCAGGACTGCGCTTCTCGTTGAAATCAATCTATATATGAGCGATAAATTCGGTGACTGCCCATCAGCCCTGGATGTTGGGAATTAAACACTTCATAGATGTTTTCAGCCCTCCGTGAAAGTGATTTAAGCATTGTCTAAGCTATTTCGCTTTTTCCTTCGCTTGAAGATAGTTCCTCATTAATCTGATCTGCGTGCAGGAAAGGTCGAACCGAGATGTTATAACTTTTGTTTCCATTACACCAACGTAATTCCCTGGGTGAGGAAAGGCAGCTACTGACATGAGAGAAGTAATTTATTTCATGGTAAACACGCCAAAAAGCATCACTGTGATCGAGCGGTAAGAGGGTGAAGTGATAGCATATTCAACAACAGGACATGCTCCGCTTTGAAGCTTTCTCGAGAGGTTAGTCTGCTATGGAATCTCTCCTCGTTAAAGCTATGAGAGTCGATTCAGGTCAATGGAGAACCAGAGACTCACCCAACAAATACCTTTAAATCGTATATTAGTATAGTCCGATTCAAGGACATCTGGACACGACCCTTTTGAAAATGACGTTGTGGGGATACGAAGGTGGCGAAATGATCCTAACTGTGCTACAACGTATGCAGCAGATCAGAAATTTCGCCCGAAGGACATCTTGCATTTTTCAACACAACTTTTGCGGACAAAAAATACGGCTCTCATAGGAGCCTCGAAATCGACGGCACTCTTTTGGAGCTCGTGGCTGCAGCCTTTCTAGAGTCAAGTGGGCCCTTCGGCAGCAATTCACTGATAATGAATACACATGTACGTAATACATATGTACATGAGTAACAAAACAAATGTATACATTGATAATTTTAGATTAGTGGCATTATGCTTGAAATCGTGGATAGGCTAAAATGGAAGATTAAAAATTACATGTACGAACTGTGAGGAAAAACTGAATACTTCTGATCGCAAGAGATTTGGCACCATACGTTGGTCATGTCAAATATCAGTTTACTGAGTGGTTCAAGGGCTTCAAAAAAAGGACACAAGACACAAGCATTCGAAAAGGGAGAGGATCACAAGGAAGATGGCCAACTAGTTGATTGCATTAAAAAAACTATCAGATTTTGGGCGATCTACAAACTTCTAGGTCAAAGTGAAGCGGTAATAATGAAACTTGTAAGATAAGTAAAATAATAGATACATGTCTTAATGCCGGCGCAATCAACCCCATTGTCTACTAACTAAATCTTTTTATACTAGGTTTTGGGCGGATAGCTCATGTCCTACATAGTCGTTTCTAACCTTTAGAGCGTTGGGGATCTACTCTGCTGGCAAGATGTACTTTGAGACAGCAGACTTACTCAGCAGTTCCATAAGATGCTTCCTTTTTTCGAAGAAACCTACAGTTGCGGTCAAAAAGTGTTCGCCGAAACGTTTCTCTCATTATTTTGCGCCCTTCAAATATCAATAAGACATACCCAATACAACCTTCAAAAGTTTGACTCTTGAAGAGTTTAGATATTTAAAAGAAGGGCTGCAAACTGATCTTCAGATCTTTCTCTGAAGGGAAGAATATGAAATCACGAAAAAGCGTTTCGGCGACATTTTTTTGACCGCTACTGTGTGTAGATGAGGATTTTTTGATATAGGTGATGATGACCGAAATGGCTACTGTGTATTTTATATATCTAAAACTGAATCTTCAGAGGCTAGTGGCAAGACATGAGTTATGTGCAAACAGTTTAGCGCCATTCCGGAAATTCGGAACAAGCCTGCTTGATCCGGAGCACTT